AAGCTAAACCATACATTTCGATATTCAGTATGATTTGCAAAAACAATGGTTGTTCCTCTAAAATGTTTGGCTGACCACATTTGGCCCTGTCATTCTGTGTTGTACGTAGTTCAGGATTATCTTCCCATAAAGCATTCAGTTTTAATTTTTTCAAATCCCTTGCTTTCTGGGATCTTCTTTGATCATCAATCTTCCTCTATATTTTTTTCCAGCTCAGTTTTTCCTTCTTCTCTATCTTTTAACTCTTAAGTTTTGCTCATTTTGAAAGTAGTCTTTGTTTCTGCTGATTATGCAAACCAATGAGGTCAGTTTTACACCAATTGCTGACTTGAAATGTAATTGAACAGTAGCATTTATCGGATGAGTCAAATTGTTCTAGAAGGTAGTGTTTGAGAAGTAATGATATTCCAAGCATCTGTCGGTTGTTCATTGAACTCTAAATATTCTGACTCGAAAAATGTTTTGAAACTGATGGTGCTTGTTTTGTTCAAAAGTTATTTAGTGACTTTTTCATAACGGAAATATTGAGTTCTTTCAACATATGGTTAACTTTTTCAGATAAATATGTGGCACTCTTGATATTTTCCCACTTTATTATAAATTCATCTTGGCAAATCTTTTTGGTTTTTCATAGGATCAGTGCCGGATTACCAAATAGGCAGAGTAGGCACTGGCCTATGGGCCCCACGACAACGGATCAAAATAATATTGAATTAATTGGATCTTGTATTAGGATATAATTTGTGAGGGGAGGGGGCTCCACAGGGTTTAATCTGGCACTGCATAGGATGTGCTAGTACACAAAAATTAAATAAAGACTGATATAAATTTTTTTTATCCATTACTATGGGCTGCCGAAAAGTCATGAAAATTAAAACTAATGTAACACTTGACACCTTACGTTGTATGGTTTCAACAGCGTAGGCCCTAAATGTTAAGTGTCGCAAGTTATAGACTGATTTTTTTAAATACAAAATGTCATCCAACTTCAAACACTCTTTGTACTAGTATGATCGTTTATAATCTAGCACTTCAGTGGTGTTCACAAAACATTTTCAATAAAAAGAAAGAAAAAAAAACCAGCTAACGTTTGATATATTTATTCCCATTAATGTTCGACGTCCCAGTGGGACACATGGCCCAAACTTGGCGCTACTCAACTAAGTACATTTGTTGTTTTTTTCACATACAAAAAACCCCACTAAAAGATAAAACGTTCACTGCGGACAGAATACCGTCTTTCAATTTACTAAACTCGTGTACCTTTGATCACGTCGCACTGTTGTCAGGATGGTGATAACTTGTTAGCCCATTGTTTTACTTGTCTAACACCAATAGGCCTGCAGTTTATTTAGTCAAAATTTTGTTTTTAATGTGTGTATTACAATATATTAAAAAAGAATAACATAATTAAAAACAACAACAGTTTAAATCAGGTAAAGGTTATAACAATTGTCCAATGTTAATACAAATCGTCTACGAGAATTGTTATATATTGCGGATAAAAATGGACTGAGGATGCAGGTCACAAAATCTTTTTGCTCAAACATTAATTTTTGGAAGAAGCATTCAACGCTCATATCTATTGTGACGTCACATTTTTTCACAAAATGTTGACCCCCTCCTCTCCGTCATTGCATGACACATGTGAACGACACCTGCAAGTGGTTAACAATATGGGAGCACGACTACGATCGACGTTTGAAAATCAATCCCGGGAAATCGTGGAAAGTTACAAAGTGATGGACCCTGTAGACCCACGTGATGGTTTCTTTGGTGGATGCACGAATGCCACATGCCTGCTGTACCACGTGGACGAAGAGAAAGAAGGACAAATCAAATACCTGGACGTATTCGTTGTATCTTTGGATGTGCAAACATTGTCACTTTCCAGCAGGACATCCAAATATGTTGATAGAACACATCGACATGAAAAACAATAATACGAAGGATTTATATCAGATGCCAATTTTTGCCCCTTATCAGTTTTTTTTCTTTCTAGGAAATGTGATTTTTCTGTGTGCCGTACCTCTGCCGAAATCTGTAACCAGGGCAAATCTTAACATTGCATGAAGGAAGAACGGGCTTTGACATAAACGCGGGTCAGCGTGAAATTGTTTCAGTCTGGAACTGGGATACTAATTTTTAGAAGTGTACGAAATTTACCACTTTCCCAAGACAGAAGATCACCAAATAGACGATGACACCCAAAAGGTCATTTACTCTGGCTAGTTGGTATCTTTCTGAAGCCAGCTGCTCTCCTTCCTTGTGCCAGATTCCTGAGGAATACCATTCCAAAGAGGCATCACTTTAGACCACATCGAGAAAAAAGAAGGAAGACACTCGTTTTGCCAAAGTCGTGTTGAATTGCATGTGGGTTAAAATGGTCCATACTTATCCAAGATGGAGTATCTGGCAGAGTCCTAGTACAACATGGTTTATAACAAAAACAAAAAAAAAAACCGCATATGAAATATATTGTCGTTTAAATAGTATAGTATTATCATATAATGATCTTACTAGAGAAATTGTACAGAACGATATGCATCATATACACTCAATATGGACACCAACATTCTTCACTATCAAAAACTAAATTCTTCCATTGGTGGCATGCAACATTAATTACAACACATTACAGACTTTATGTAAGACGCGAAGTTGCAGCTAAAAGGTCTCTGAAACAATATGGTATTAACAAAACATGAAGCTACCTGTGCATTTGTACGCTGAATACGCCTGCAGGTAAGCCGTGTCCACCAGATCTGGCGTCTCTCACGAAAAGGTACAAAATCCGTACATCAGGTGGTTTATAGTGATATTAGACATTATATGTGCATTGAAGATTATTTCTCGACTAGATCCTGTTACTTTTGGACTAAGGGCCTCCAACATTTTGGACCGAGGACCTCCTACTCTTTTACATTTGGACTGAGGACCTTACTATTGGCCTGAGGACCTGTGCTGTCATTTCTTATGGATCTACCCAATCAGCTTTGTATGTGATATTGACTGCAAATGCACAGGGATCTCTACCTTTTTTCACATTCACGTTTAATTTCTTGTTGATCTCACTCTTTCAATTTTCTCGAATTTGACAGCATTTTTTTGTTGATTGTACACCTGTTATATCTCGGGTATTTTGTATTTCATTGCAATTTCCTCCTACAAATTTTTTTTTTTGGTGCATCTGTAACATTTACAACCAATATTATTTTGGATACACGCTTCATAAGACAATTGTACCATTTATTAACTATTTGTCAGATTAAAGTTCTGAGAAAATTGTTCAAAACCTGTATACTGACATACTGCTAACAGAATATTACTGTCTTTACTTTCAGCTGTTTGGTGTAAAACTGCTAATAAAATCAAATGATGTTGGTTGCAGTCCTTTGTAGCAAAAGGGTTAACATGTTATAATGGTACAAGACACGTCAGGACGTCAATAACTTCTTTGAGGCTTCAGTTTTTATTTTCATTTTACTTTTGAACTATTGCAATCGCTTTCTTATTTTCGAATGCAATCTCTTATCATTTCTCAAGTATTTTCATGCAATACCCTTTATGACCGTGTAGACATCAGTTGCTAACTTGCAGTTTTCATGTGTACATTTCAATATTGTAATCTTTTGTGTGCTTTCTATTTTCCTCTGATTCTGTGACCAACACAAATTAAAATTTTAATCCTTTATTCTTTAGTGTTTTTTTTTTCTGTACAATATATTATCTTTCAAAGACTCGCAGCTTTAATCCTCAATTCATCTATCAATATATTATGATTCCTGGGAATATCTCTGATGGAGAAGTGTGCCTTGAAACGTCATTTCTTAAGGAAAAGCTTTCTTTGACACCTGTTTTATTTCAATAAATAGTTATCTGTAAAACAATATTCATGTGATTAGTTTTCGAGCCAGGATCGCTTTGTATCCCAAAACCATACATGCCAACCTCTGGCAAAGGAACAAAGGAAAAGCGTTATCCAAGTGAACGAAAGTAATGAGCAGGAAAAGCGTAATCCACAACATAATAAAATTCAATGCACATATATATATATATATATATATATATATATATATATATATATATATATATATATATATATATATATATATATATAAAACACGTGCATATTTTAGGCAATTTTGGCGTCAAAAAGCATCCATTTGAACAAAGGACCAAAGTTGTATTCTACCACTAGTTGTCAGTGTTCTATTAAGAACTCGGTAAATAACGCCTCAGCATTTATAAAATTAGTTTCCACAATTTAGTTCTGCTGTAGAAAAAGAAGTTACTTTAGTATTGGAGTTAGCAAACTGAGCTAATTCAAGGCGTCTTTGTTTTACACTATGACCAAATATTAAAATACTTTCCACACAGCCTGCACTGTATTGTGTTATTCATCTGTCATTTTTTTTCTTCATCTAAACCATCTGTGAAATCAGTTGAGAAACATTTTTGCTGTAACATATGCATTGACTAGAAAAAATAGGACTTTTACCACCAAATTCCTAGAGACTGGTTCTGGACCCAACATTATTTTTAACAAAACAATGTAATGATTACACCAAAAGCATTTATGAGTAACTAAGGATAAATTTTTTTCAACACATGCTATGGATATGTTATATTTTATTTTCATAAATCTGAGCAAGAATAATTTTGTATACCTATCTGAAGATGGGCCATTTTAAAAAAAAATCCCTCGCAAAATGATTAAAAAAATAATGTGAATAGTGGTTTTTCCATTTATTCAGGGACAAAGATGTTTGGGTGTGATTTGGATTTATTTTTTTGCTTTAATAATTCTTCAGTCATATCGCTACGATGTCTGCAGTGTGGCAGTTTATAGTGATGTCTAGCACTAGGGCATCATGCCGCAGACACGTAGCATGATGCCCCCACCCGGTCCTGACAAGGCCAACGTGTCCTAACACTAACCTCTTAATGCTGAGCGCCAAGAGAGGCAGCTGTTAGTACCATTTTATAAGTCTTTAGTATGACTCAATCGGGGATCAAACCCAAGACCTTCCGCATCTGAGGTGGATGCTCTAAGCACTAGGCTATTGAAGCAGTCGACAAAGTCATTTCAAAGTATGTGAAACCAATGATTTCCAAGCCAAACGTTGAAAATATCTCCAATTCATTAACTCCATTAATACACACCTCATTATTATACTCATCATTGTTGACAGCCTTAGGTCCTGCTCATTGAGACATATATTCCAAGTTAAACGCAGATCACAAATGTGGCTTTTAGAATGGTAACAATTTGAATCCATCAGATGCAAAGTCAATTTAATAGCATATAAACATCTTGCTCATTGCCCTGTCTGTGCAAGCTCTTGAAATTAGAGACAAATTCTATCAGGAATATGACCTGTAGTGGGTAACAAACCAAAGCCAATCTGACGTATGATTCCATTGTCAATCTCCTTCTCAAAACCCACCTATGCGTATCAAAACTGGATCTGAAATATAACCTCCAGAATGGTAACTAGATCATCCAATCGGGTTCAAGATCACATCATTAATATGCAGTCTTTAAATGACCCCTCAATATGACCATTCTGTCATAAAGTCGTCTTGAAATTCCCTCTTTAGTCTTATCAGCACTGTTTAAATTTAGGACCAATTGCTATAATGTTGCTCTATTATACTGGGTAGTGTATGCCATATTTAATAACTAAACGGCAGTTTCATTTACGACTAGATTCCATTGAAGTTATCTGGTGAAAACACCACATCACAATGACCGCTCATCCAGGTTGGAGCATGTCTATCAAACTGCTCTATAGGAGGTCATACCAGCATCACTATCAATTAGACACCCCCCCCAACACAAGTCTGTGAAACACACAACTTTCTGCTTACAAGTGGTGACAACAATGGTGGCCACATCCATAGACCAATTGGCAAAATTTTCATTCAGGACCAACTAGATATCATAATCCTTTGAATCAAAACCATTCAGGACCAACTTGATATCTAATCCTTAGAGTCAAAACCATTCAGGACCAACTAGATATCATAATCCTTCCAGTCAAAACCATTCAGGACCAACTTGATATCTAATCCTTTGAGTCAAAACCATTCAGGACCAACTAGATATCATAATCCTTTGAGTCAAAACCATTCAGGACCAACTAGATATCATAATCCTTCCAGTCAAAACCATTCAGGACCAACTTGATATCTAATCCTTTGAGTCAAAACCATTCAGGACCAACTAGATATCATAATCCTTTGAGTCAAAACCATTCAGGACCAACTAGATATCATAATCCTTTGAATCAAAACCATTCAGGACCAACTTGATATTGTAATCCTTTGAGTCAAAACCATTCAGGACCAACTAGATATCATAATCCTTCCAGTCAAAACCATTCAGGACCAACCTGATATTGTAATCCTTCAAGTCAAAACATCAGGATGATATGACCACCCGTTTGGGATTAGCAAAAAAACGAGACTTTCAAAAAAGAATGGAAGTCTGAATAGTTTAGAATGTGTGAAGCTTCACAGAGTTTTCAAAGTGGTTTAATTGGAATACTGACAACATACTTGGGCTAAGGGATGCACAATGTACAACCTATAAGCTCGTCCTATCAACGACTAAGTCAAGTCTACAAATAAAAAAAAACATGCACAAAATTGCCCTACATGAATACTTTATTGAAATAAATAGTACACATCAGGTTGATAACAGAAATTAAGGTATTCATACATAACTTTTCATTAAACGACAATTTTCAGGCATCAAAACATTTTAGAACTAGATCTTTAAAAAAAAATGCAAAGATGTAACAATTCCTTAAAAAGATTAAAATGTGATGTAACAATTTCTCAGAACAAAGAATCAATTCCTTAAAAGGATTGAAATAGATGCTGATTTTATTTAAAATGAGTATTGTGAATCCATGCAGGGATGAAGAAAACGTTAAATGAAATTTGATGTACATTAAAAAAAATATGCCAAGCTTAAAGGGAGAATCCAGCCAAATCAGAAAATTTCTTTTTAAATTAGCTTACCTTTTACACATTGCACAAGTATTTCTTTGTTTTTCTAAATTGGAAAATTAAATGGTAAAATTTACTTTTGGTAAATTAACTGTACTTCACACTGTATAAAAAAATCCATACAGAAAATCGTGTACATAGAAGCTACTGACTAGAAATATAGTTTAATTATACACTTTTGTTTCACAAATTGTGAGTTGGCTTGTGACCTATTATGTTGAAGTAAACACGCATTGTCAACAGATTGATTTCAAACAAATGTGCCATTTGACATGGTTAGCTTGTATCGTCTACACATCTTTCAAAGTATGTAACAACAATGATGAAAGCATAAATGAATATGCATGAAATTTTGGATGACAATTGATCATTCACATCTTTATTTTATGAAATTACATATTCAATAATTTACAACTGAATAAGCATACACTTACAATACTGTCACACGTGTGCTCTATCGTTCTCTCTGGCACACACAGCAACCAGCAGACTCGACAATGCAAATACTATGTTCACCACAAGTGCCAGTTACATGTCACAAATGCAATGCCCTGAACCCATTAATGAGAAAATCTCATGCCTTTATGCCGGGGGAACAATGGAGAAATTAAAGGACAATTTGGCCAAAAAATGATGGGACAAATGTCCTCAAATTTTATGAATGTAGTATATAAATGAAATCTCTTGCATGAACTTATTTTTCATTAGCCTGGATTTTCCCTTTAAATATCAAATATACTGTTACGGCAATGTAGACTGGAGAGTAAAAGATATGAAAAAACAGAAGCAACAACAACAAAAAAAAATCATTGAAGAATCGTGCCCTCAATATTCAAAATTCTTATTTCTCAAACCTGAGTTGAGGTGAATGTCAATACAATAAACATAATCATTAGTCCAGTCTGTATTGATACACTAAACACATTTAATAGGCAAATCAGTATCTACATGTGTATAGTCTATGAGAAAAATTCACTGGTAAAACAGGAGTACTTGGTACTTGGAGAGGCATAGTTTGCTTTCTATAAAATTATTTCTTGGCCTTCTTGGCACCCTTAGCTCCCTTTTTTCCCTTTGCCTTCCTCTTTGTCACCCCAGAACCTGAAAGGAGGAGAAAAAATTGTGTTGTAAAATTCACAATGTTCATGTTAGCAACAGGCCTGCAACATTCCTTCATCTTTCATAAAATCTAAAATTTTATGTTACAAACTACCATTTTATCTAATTTTACAATTGGTATCATTTGATCTAATTTTACAAACTATAATTTTATCTAAGTTTACAAATTGTATCATTTTATCTATTTTTAACTCTAGGCTCAAGCTTTTTCAACAAGTCTCACCTCACAAGAAAAAAGTTGAAATCACTGATGGTTACATCAAAAATGAAAACCAATTAATGTTTTCAGCAATTCCTCCAATTTTCTATCCTGCATCTCCAAATTGGCAGTGCTGAAAGAAAAAAAATTACAGACCCGAAGCTGGCTACCAGAATCACATGCCCCGACTACAATTAAACACCTATCTCCAGCACAGTAGGTAAGGCTTTATAGACACAAAGTCACAAAAGAAAAAGCATGTATTCTATCAATCTATTTCTTGGCTAATATCATACAGAGAAGCATAGGTGAATTAATAATTGGAATGTTCAATTCTGCATGTCACATGCAGGTGGTCTCCCATTAAGACAGACATGGTACACAGAAATGTTGATATACTGTTTGCTATGTGCCAAGATTTGCCCCCTTCCCCCTTTGCTGGCATGCTTCACAAAGTAAAACCATCAATGAAAAGTTCTGAAATATATTTTTGCTTACTTTGTTTCCTAAATCATCTTTAAAATGAACAAAACTAAATATTTCTTTCCCAGATATATATATATATATATATGTGTGTGTGTGTGTGTGTGTGCGTGCGCGAAAAAACTTCAAATAAATGTTATCACCATTCACAAACTTGTCAATGATCTTTAATACAGATGGCTGAAAGCAGACATACAAACTCTTATGATTTTGCCATAAGTCTTATGAAAGTTACCCTTGACTTACGGATAGCAAAAATTACGAAAATCTGGTTAATTAATTAGTTCATCCATGTTTTTGATGAGAATTAGTAAAATTAGTGAGGGAACCAGACTTACTTTACAGCCGCACCCCAGACACTACTTATACTGCACATATTTGTTCACGTAAAGCTTCTGCATGACCAAACTGTTGATTTTTTTTAAAAAAGGGTGTCCAGAAAGTGATGCATGTATAAGAGGAAAGGGAAAATAAGCATCTAAAAAAAAGTTAATAATCAATGGTGAAGAATAAAAAGGAGTATTTATATTCTTATGAAAAAAAACTGAAATGGACACAATTATGTTTATTGGGCATCACGTGCCAATTTGAGCATGCCTCATGGCAGGAGATATGATCGACATCATGTTAAATGGAAAAAGAATTTCCACAAATTATGTCAAGCTGAGACAGCAACAAGCCATTGAGATGCATAGGGATTGGAACAAAAGTTCGTGCAGCCGTACAAGTGGTAAGTCTATGCGTACTTTACAAACTTTTCAGTTGAACATAATGTTTATCAGCGTTGCATCAAACTTTTATTTATGTTTTGCAGTATTACAAGAGCAGCTATTGCTATTTTGTTGTTGTTGGGCTTAGGTTATTCATGGCGGCCAGTATTAATAGTGGAGGAAGAAAATGGAAAGAACCACTGACCCACGAGAAGCTACTGGCAAGCTTTCTCACATATCCACATTTGCCTAATCCCTGAACCCACGCAGACAGAGGTGAGATGGCAGTGATTCATAACAGACAGCAATTTAGCTCACTCAGCCACTCAGGGCCCGTTATTTTGTTACAACTTACTAAAAATGGTCAATCATATGGAAAAAAAGCAACTGGCTTACTGAGACGGACGGACTCGTCAAGGCTGGCAGGTCTGCTTAAAGGCTCTAATTCAAGGCAGTAAGAATAACTTTTGTTCACCTATATGCATCTAGGATCTATCAATTAACCTATATTGGCTTGTTGCACTTCATAATCTGTTTCACCTATGC